GACTTCACTGTGCAGCATAAAATTGTACCTTAGCAGCACCTACCTGAGCCATTTTGGATGGTACTAGTGTCTTAGATAATTAACTGACATTGTTTGCACTAGGTGATCCAGGTTTCATGAAAATACTGCTTTATGGTACCATAAGGTTTTATACGTTGTTTGATTGGTTAGTTTGTATTTTTAAACAGGTTTAGAGACTGAATTCATACATTCAGTCAAATTGCATTTAGAAATATATTTTTCCCTGAACTCCCAATTAAGTAAATAGACAAGCTCTTCAGAGCAAGGTCATAATGTAGGTGCCCTGAACTCCTGGTTTCTCTCTGATTCTCAAGGAAACTTAGATGCAACAAATTAAGTGATGTGATTGGCTCCTTACAGATCATATTTGGTTTTAACAGTATAAAGTAATTTGAAAGAAATGCTTCATAGTAATTTAAAGGCTTTTAATCACAGTGATTGAAAGGCCCTTGACAGCAGAGTTGGTCAGTATTATGAAATATTTAACCATAGGGCCATTTCTTCACTCATAGTATTTGATGTATAAAATACAATCTTTAATGTACAAATGGCCGCCCTTTGAATTGAAAATGGTGTTGAAAGCTGGATTCTTTCACATCTTTCATGGTTTTCAATTTCATGGGACACGGTCAGTAGAGTGAACTGGGAAGATTTTGTTAATGGTTTTATTGTATTGACTTTTTAATTTGAAATTTGCTTTGTTATGTATATAGAATATATCTCTAATATCACCACTAAATTCCTTGTCTTCTTCACATTTTCTCTAATTCATTCATATACTTGTACATTGTCAATATATTAACATTTTCATTGGTTGCTCTGCTGCATTCTTTAAAGCACCTAACATGACTACTGGCCAGTTCTGTAGTAAATTCTTAATACATTTCTAGAGTTCATTGCCTACTAGGAGGGTCCTGGCTTGCAATAAATTATACACATGATATATCTTTAAGAAGCATGAATTAATTTTGATTGTGCTCCAAGATGACCACAGGCCATGTTAAAGAGAGTGCTGAGCCTAAGTTAGTATTTTCTGTCTCTTAGCTAGACTTATTTGTTAAGACTCAGTGCCGTGATATTTTAAGTTACATGGGATGTGTTTGGTTTAGATGGTAGCAAAGGGACCTCATATCTTGATTATAAAATGATATATAGATCTGCCCTTTCTATCCTGGAAAACAAATTTATTCCTTGCTTTGGGTAGCTCAATTGCAAGTTATGAGGGGAATTGCTAACTGCTCCTTTTTTCTTGGGAGTTCAGATGACCTTTTGCAGTTTCCAAGACTGAGATAATTATATATTTTAAAGACTGAGGTTTTGAACCTTACTTAATATTAAAGGGAAAGAATACAGTGAATAGAAGACAAATTCAAGGTGCTCTGAATAGCATGATACAATTCCCTGAGGGCTGGCAGTTTCACGTGCAGGAAAATGATATTGTTGTTGTTATAAATGATAATGATGTTGTTGCTCAGGTATGAGAGTGGGTGCAAAAGCAAGAAATTTATTACCAAGGCCAGCCCAACAGATGCTGGGAAAGCACACAGTAGTGCAAGGATACTGACTGGTAGGTTGTAGAGGTGTAAATTACCTTTACTTGACTAATTGTGGATCCACGTCTCTACTGGAGGAAGAATGTATTGAGTTAACATTAAAGAACAATATGTTGGGTGTCTTAGATGGAAATAGCAGTTGATAACATATGCCCTGTTAAAAGCATGTTTGCTGTTATGTACCCAGAAGGGGGAAAAAAAATAAAGGCAGATTCTTTGGAAAATAACAAATTATTAAATTATTGGTACCCTAGAGGCTATCAATTCTGAAGCATATATGTCCATGAGATGTAAGGCAGATATTAGTTGAAGAATTATTCCTTACTGTTTGGTTCTTTTCCCAAAATTTAATGACTACTATTCTTTGTGAAAATACTGCTTTTCTCTTTTTTTTTTTTTTTTGTACTTCACTCATAGCTGAGTACATCTTTCATGGACAGGGAGAGGAGTAAGAATCTCAGCATAACACTAAGAAATCGTAGAATCATAGAATTGTCAGGGTTGGAAGGGACCTGAAAGATCATCTAGAAATGGGCATCCAAATGCCAGCTCTGTGCAGTTAATAGTTTACAGTTCTTTTCAGTTGTGGTTTTCAGTTATGGTTCATATATTCCTCTTTTAATACTAATTACCCATGATAATTCAGTTTCAAATTTTCAACTTCATAACATTAATAGAATGTAAACATCCTAAAACTTAGAGCATAAACAGTCTAAAACATAGATGTAGACTTTATTTTGTTTTCACACAATGAATGTAATCATTCACATCTCAGTAACTACAAAGTTTTAAATGTAGCATATGAAATTAAGAAATTGTCATAGGCAACGTTTGGGGATGCCAAGAATGTTTTAATATTGATGTACTAAAATTACCACTATTTGCCAGTCTTACTAATGTGCTTTAGTACATTTTTCCCTAATATGTTATATATTAAGCTGCTTAAAGAGTGGGTGATGAGCTATTCAGAAAACTATTGCCAGTGTTCCTGTTTGCACTTTGTCCATCAGGTCCTTGAACTATATTTATTAAAAATTATTGTTTCTGAGTTGGCAAATGACTTCAAAGCCTACAGAGCTGTTTTAGACATCAGTTTTTCTGACGTGGCTGTTAACTACTGATTTTATTATTCGGTCAGCCAGCTTTCATTAATATTGGACAATTTGAATTTGTCCATAAATAAGAAATTACTTTTCTACCTTTTTTTTTTGGTGGTTGTATCTACCTTTGTTACATAAGCAATTAAAGAATTTTTTTTCTCCTAGTGTTCTTTGTTGTCTTAATTACTTTTGTTGTCAACAGCATGATTTAATTCTAATGAAAGTCCATTAGTTTCTTTTTATCATATTCTCTATCCTCTTTTTAATGCTTTTCAGTCTATTCAAGAAAGATTACCCCCTGTAACTCCTTCAAATGAGTTGGAAGCTGTCCAAAATGCCTCTTGACATAGAAATGTTTCCTAAGACCAGATATATCTAAGTAATATTGCCTGTCAGGGTACTGGTTGCATTATTCTGCATTTTGGCTTTCTTCACTCTAGAAACAGAAAGTCGTCCCAATGGGAGATCACTTGAATGTGCTTATTCTCCAGTACTCCTCTAAATTCCTTTGTGTGATCTGTAATCTTTTTTGTTTTTATAGTAGTTTTTATAGAAGTGTCTGATAAATGTAAACACAGATCCTTATTCTCTAAGATTACTAGTCCAATTCTAGTCACCTCTGATGTATTCACTTAAAGAAGGCAACACATATTATCTGCCACTCTGTGACAGAGTATTATTTCAGCTGTCAGGAATCTACAGTGGAGTTTATTTGTTGTCTTTGGAGATGCAGCTCCAGTGGGAGCCACAGTATTTGTACTGAACTCCAAATGCAGAAATAGGCATATTTATTAGCTTTTAGGACACATTTTTAATGGAGTAGAATAATTTTTCCATGGCTTGTGATGAAATTTGCTGGGTGGATAATGATATCATTTGAAAGAACAGAAGTCTTACAGTAAAAAATTGTCAATCTATCAGTCATATTTTTAGTGTTCTGTTATCTTTAAACATCCTTTTTCCATAGCAACTTCTGCTTGTGGGGCATGCCATCTTAGATTATGTGTATACTAGTGGTGGGTTTTTTTTCTAACAGTAGCACAATTCTACAGTGCATGCCCTATCTCTTTCAATTTTTGTGTATCAGTTCAATTTGCACTTTCATTGGTGTTCAAACTAGGCTTCAGAGGAGATTAATTCAGAAGCTCTCCACTAAGTACTCAGTAAGCACTTTCTCACCTCTAATAGGGATGTAAGGTCTAAACCAGTGATTGATTCCCTGAACAGCTTCACAATACATTGTACAGTTGGAACACTGGGACAGGGGCCAAATGTGATCTAGTCCTGAATGGTACAGGATCCACAGATGGAGAAGCTTTAGAATAGTGTTTTGATTTGCTGAGCTGTTACTTTTGCTCCAAATTGCATTCTGATGTCGGTTTAAACTTAGAGCAAATAAGGTTTTAGTTGTTCTGTCATCATGCATTCAGATTCAGCCCTTCAGTGGTGTTTTAGCTTGAGTATATAATTTACTGAATAATTAAAAATACCTCGACAAAATACTCGTGCACACCTTTCCTATTGGGGAGCTTCATTTAATCAGTCTTTGTATCCTGGATAATGCAGAAATAGCAGCAATTTCAGAAAATACTGAGACTAGAACTCTGGGAAGTGGTTATATCATGACAAGCATCTCCGGACAGAGTAAATATGTGATTTGAAGCAAGAATATTTTCTGTGGAGGTCAATTGGAATAAAACTAATATTGTCTTTCATTTTTATCAGAAAAGTCTTCAGTCAGGGAAAATACGTAAGTGGTTTTATTTTTTTGTCCAATTGAACTGGCTCAAAGATGTCCTGTTTTAATCTGTTTTTATCTGTATGATATTAGCTTCCCTATTTTATACCTTCATGAATACCATGGATGCTACTATTCCTCAGCACCAAGGACAAACTGAAAAAAATGTTAAAGTATCTGACCTTGGTACATTTTCTGTGCATGAACAGAAGAGTTAAGACAGTGACAAAGGGTTTAGAAGGAGAAGAAATCTAATACTTCTCTAGCATAGCAGAATAGTTTTGCAAAGGGGGCTTTTAAGCAATCAAGGCCGTGCAAACTAATTTGTGACTAGTAGTATAAATTATGTGCAGATTCTTTAGATTGATTGAATTAACTCTAGGGATATTTTTAGAGCAACTTTGTTTGGTTTCATGAAAACTATTATTAAATCATTAGTCAATGAAAATATTTACTTAGTTTTGTGTGTATGTAAATTACCATATTGATATGCCATCATTACTATCCTTTAAATAACATGCCTATTCAGGATTATGTCTGGTTAAAATGCTCAAGTTCATCTTACTAACTTCTCTGCTTTGCTTGCAGGTTGTATATAAAAATAACGATGTCAGGTTGGAGTTATCTCGACTTGCCAAGCAAGGAGACCCTAAAATGAAGATTCATGGGGTTGTAGCATTTAAATGTGAGAATGTTGCAACCTTAGATCCAATAACATTTGAAACACCAGAGTCTTTCATCTCTTTGCCAAAGTGGAATGCCAAGAAAACAGGTTCAATATCATTTGACTTTCGTACAACTGAGCCAAATGGCCTGATTCTTTTCAGCCATGGAAAACCAAGGCACCAAAAAGATGCCAAACATCCACAGATGGTGAAGGTTGACTTTTTTGCCATTGAGATGCTTGATGGTCACCTCTACCTGCTGCTAGACATGGGATCAGGTACTATAAAAATAAAAGCCTTGCAGAAGAAGGTGAATGATGGTGAATGGTACCATGTGGATTTTCAACGGGATGGACGGTCAGGTAAGCTTCTTTTTTTAACATTCAGTATGGCTTGTTGTGTTGTGTACAGGGTATATGTTATGTTGCCATCATTAGAATTGTGTATCACCTGAAAAATAAAGGAAATAGAAGAATTCATTATTGTCAGGGACCAGAATCAATGACTTGCAAAGTGAAATATCTTATGGTAACATTTATTGGGCAATCAGACACTTAATCTTGCAGGTGAGTGTTCCATGTACTTCAAACCTGAGTAGTTATCTCCCTCTGTGCTTGCTTACATCAATTAGCTGAAGTGGTAAGTTTCAAGAGTAAAAGTAAAGCAAAAAAGAATTACTGAAAGTAATCTCCAACGCAGGGAATGATTGGCCCACAGAAGCAACACAGACTTTCCAGTCATGTCAGCCTATCTCTGCATAATTAAATGATATGTTAATGAATGGCTAGCAACACATATCAGCAGAAATGGAAATAAGTGACTTATCGTATTCTGTCAGTATGATTTGTATTCTGTAGAAATTCACTTGACAAATGATCTCACTGGAAAGATTAAAAATACAGAATTGATAAACTCTTCCTAATGCTATGGAAATATGTTATAGGAGAAAATGTATTTAACTAGTGAAACTGTCCTTGTTTTTCTGCTGTGTCTGATCTTAAGTATATATCTTGACTTCAGCAAATAATCAATATCCATTAGTTGAAGGGCAAATCTGTTCTATGGCATCTTTCCTGTAGTTCATGCCAGGATTCAGGGGTGGGAGGGAGGGGGAAATATACTGAATCTGTAATTTAGTCCATCAAAGAATTTTTCAATTAATATCAGTATTCAGTCTGAAGTTTATGTACACCGAGTGTTGAAACACATAAACACTTCTTCTTTTGGATTTTCGTGGGTTTTCCCCCAGTTTCTTCCTTCTGGTGACTCCTTTTCCGTGACTTGCATTCCGTATTTCTTTCTGAAACTTCACCCTCCAAAAGTTATTATTTTATAACTTACTTTCTCATTACCCATGAATCTGATTTCAGATCAAGCAAATCTTAGGTGTAGGCTTAAACTGAAGATTTCAGTCAAATTTGTGCTGAAAGTCAGACCAAATTCAACTGGTTATGCAAAATGGTGATTTGATTCTTTTGCTGTGCAGCTTCAAATTCTAATTTTAGAGAGTTTAATTTTCTGATTATAATGTCAGTTGCTTATTTACTTTTCTTGAGGTTAAAAACCCAAAACAACCAGATAAAATGGAAAAAAAAAATCAAACAGCAAACCCCACAACTACTCAAAATCCTCAATTATGATTGAATATCCAGTGATTATATTATTTATACTACAGTCTTCATTTCAGTCTTCCTTCTTAAGTGCTGCTTCAGTGATTCATATGAGGCAATAAATCCTGTAATTATCATGCCTGTGGGACTCCACTGAAAGCAAACTTTATTCTTATGTCTAAAGTCAACACAACTATAAAGAAAATAAATAACTCCATAGCATTTGATTACATTTGAAGATAAATTCTGCATTTTCATTGATTCATAAAAAAAATGTAGCTCACAAGTGCCATTAAGAGATTTTTAGGTCATTCTTTAAAAGTGTTGATGGTAAGTGGCAAGAATGTAGACTAATCTTAGGAAGAAATACACACTTGATGATCAGGACTATATATTATTTTTAAATAGAATTATAGTCAAATACATATATAAAAGAAAAATAAATCCAGCTGAGGAATCGCCTGTGATCAAGAAAAGTGAACTTTACTCTGTCACTCTTGAAAAATGACCACAGTACCTATCTTCCCTAAAACATAAAGCTATTACCAGGAATAGTAAATAAAAATAGAGACATTTGGTTTGAGAAACTGAATTCTTAGCTGAAATCTGAACCTGACATGAAAGATTTTCTGTGGTTTTAATACATACAATAATACTTTACAGTAGGAAAAGTACCAATAACAGTGGTAACGCTGTTAATTTTCTTAATGAGAATATTGGCTGAGTAGTATCTTAGACTATCATATTTAACCAAGTAAAATGACTTCTAGCAATTAAAAGAAACAATTGTATGTTCTTATTTTCTTCTGATTAGATGAAGAAGTACTTATGTGTTATCTTTAGATTATTTCTTCATGACTTACACATATTGGTCTTTTATTCCTTTACGTGAATAATAAAATCCACTTTACTGTTCCAGCAAGCTTTTTCATTTATTTTCTCTAGCCAGAATTAAACATACTGGAAATAATATGAACATGATCCCTTGTAACTTGCCTACCTTCAAAGTGAATGAATATACCTTGTATAAAAAAATAAAATAAATTGGCTTCTCTGAGACATTCTTGCTGCTGACAAAATACTTCCCAACCTATAATGTATAAAGGAAGAGAGTCTCCTCTTAATGAATAAAGAGCCCAAACAGCCTGTGATTATATTTTTATTTTTTTTTAAGTGAAGTTTGTCGTCTTGCAACCTTTTACTCCTAGCCTTCAAATCCAATGTAGAGTGGTTCCCTCAGATAATAGAAAGCTATGACATTTCTCAAGGAGCTTTGCTAATTTCCTTGACTTTTGTATTAGCTGGATCAGCAAGTACTCAATTTATTTTTCATTCTTTGTTCTCTTCTGGATTCTCAGTCACAAGGAGTATCCACTCTGAACTACTGACTTTGCCATTGCCCATCTGGGACCTGTGGTGGGGGAGGTGTAAGGAATGAGAGCATTTTTTTAGATTGGATTTATCCAGGCACTATTCACTCATAATTCTGCTCATCCCCTTGGATTTGGGGAGATACAAGGCAGAGGGAAGAGGTGGTGCCCTTTAAATTCCTTTCTCTGAAGGAACTTTTGATCTACTATTCTTATAAAAGTTTTTCACCCTGGAATCTCATCCTGTTTGCCTGTAAGACCTCCTCTGAGCACTTCCTTACCTAAAAAGCAGATCTTCAGTGAGAAGGAACTTCTGCGACTCTGTTTGCTGTGGTAAAGAAAGACAGATTTCACACCTTTTCCATCAGTCCATCTTTCTTGCTAGGTATACAGCAGAGGAAAGGGAATGCAATGTTCTCCAGCAGTCTGGGGTTTTTGTGCTAGGTATACAGCAGAGGACACAACCTGGTACAAATTGCTGTGTCCTGGCATGTGAGCTGAATTCCTTCCCAATATTGATGGTGATTCTGAATTCCTGTGAAGTACAGTAGCTTCATAGCTGCTTTACACGTGCCCTTGGGCTTGGCCATGGGCTGTATGCCATGATCACAATCCTCCTCACAGCTGTTACATTATGCTTTAACACACAAGATGTGAAGTGTATTTAGAATATCTTACTCCGATTCTTTCACCAATTCTTAATAAGCAAACACGTTTCACATGCACAAAAAGCAACTAATAAGCCACATGATATATAAGCAGAGAGATCAAAATAATTGTAGCAGCTATAGTTATGTTCTTCATATTTAACTGATCAGAACTGAGAAAGGGTTAGAAATACGTCTTAGTTTCTTATACACAGATGTATGAAAAAGTAAATTGCTGAGATAATGAATATGATTGGAGAGGCTCATTAACTCATACCTAAGGGAAATGTTTGTTCTGCTCTTAACAGTACTGCCAACTCTGCAGTAAAAAGAATTGGAAAAAAAAACTCAAACCCAAACTAAGTTATAAAAGCAACCATGAAGCAGCTGTAAAGGTCTTTGCTCACAGTTTTTCTTGTAACACAGTACAGTTAGGCTTAATAACTGTTTTCTGAGACTTGAGTATTGTTTAAAATTTTGTTAAACTGTTTACCATATTCAAGGATAAAACCTTGCAAATGCTTTTTAACTAAGCCACCATTCATCCTTTGGAAATCATTAGACAGTGAAATCAGAGGAAACTTACTTTTCTTGTCAACTTCCAATCATGTATATAAAGCAGAATGTATTTATAGGTAGGCACCATTTAAGGGCTAAAAAGTCACTGATTTTTTGAACTAAAATACCAGAAATTATCTCTACAGTATGTAAGTAGAGCTTAACTATAATTAGTATCTCTCTGTAAGTAGTGCTTTGTAGATGTCTTTTACATGCATTATTATTGCAAGTTCTTTTTTTACACATACACTTCTATATACTTCTTCCTCTATCTTTCCAACCTTTTAGGAACTGCAAGATTTACGTGTTCCTATTTTACAAATGTTAATAGTTTACATATTTGAAATAATGGCTTTAGCTTGCATTTTAAGGAAGAGTCTTCTAATGATCCTGTTAGTGTTTTTCATTTATTCATGAGCTCATAGAAAAGTTGAGATGAGGTGACCTTGAGAGGTCTTTTATTTTACATCTCCAATGAAAGCAGTGATGATGGACTTGCATCAATTTTGACAAGCGTGTGTCAAGTTACCCCATCAGTGAACACTATGCAACCTTCCTGCGTAATCATTCATAAACTGAATATTTCTGTGTGCAAAACAAACCATTTTGTCCATAATTTCCTTGTTCACAGCAGGCACAAAATACACCCTAATTTTTCCTGTGTTCTATCTCTGTACTTCTTGTGATTTCAATGCTCTTATGGTAATCTCCAGTTTTCTTCACAGACTGAGAAGCCTCAGCTGCTTCCTATCCTTATGTCATGTTCTGTAGTCAGTGAGCATTTTTATTGCTGTCTTCTGCAATCTTCTCAGCTAATCTGTATCTTTCACAGAGTTCAAGGTAAACCTTAACGAAAGCTTAGTGAAGTGGTATGATAGGCTTCTCTATACCTCCCAATATATTCAGTTTTGCTCATAGGTATGTTATTGTTGACTCTTTCTATTGAATAAGTGCCCACTAATCAGTTACCCTTTAAATCAATAATTCTCGTCCAAAAATCATAATTTTATTAATTTTTTTCTCATTGTTCCTCCAGTGCGTAAAGATGTTCCTGAATATTTAAATTGTATTTTGCTCTCAGGTAAAACGCTATAGAATTAGAGCACCTGTAGGTCATTATAGGATCCTTAAATTTTTGTTCAGTTTCTGGAGATAAGAAATGCTACCTGGTTTTAGAGTCTGAAGTTAGGTCACGAATTCCCAGATTAAATAAATCACCCTGCACCTTCTTGTCCTTCAGTCTTCCCTTTTTGTCTTCTTTGAGGCTGGACAAACATTTCTTTTTCTAGTTGAAATACAGTTTTTCCTATTAGGAGTATTAAAAAACTTTGCAAAGAAGTTGCTTATTTCCTGGAAGACATTGTTGCCCTGGTGTTGCTCTTGTCAAAGAAATAGTTTAACTACTAATCTGGTTATGGGTACTGTTATGCTAGGTGCTATGCAAAGACATAACCGAAAGAATGGCTCTTACTACAGAGAGGTTACAATTTAAGGTCATCGTTTTCTCTTTCCATTGAGAGACCAACATTCTTCTGCTGCTTTCTCATCGTATTCTGTTATCTTTAGGTTATTTTGTAAAACAAGATACGTTCCATTCTTTTCTCTCTTATCCAGTTTGACAGTTCCAGTGTAAGAATTGTTAATGTAACATTACCTTTATAGGGCAAATTATTAAGCTTATCCTGAGCATACAATGTTTGTATGCTCTATTAGCTTTCCTTCTCTCTGCTTCTGTGAAAGGTGATGTCTCTTCACATTCATAAGTAGAAACATACAAATGGATTGGAGCTGGTGACTTGACAGAACGATTCCTTTTAATCTGCCTAGAAGTCCCAGAGAAAGTAGGATTTACATCCACAAAAGGGGGTGGGCGTTGTTACCACAGAATTTAGGGATAGTATCTGCCAGTGTCATGAGGTCCAACCTGGGATGACTTCAGCCAAACTTGAAAATTTTCCTTCAGGAAGGATGACAGGCTTAAAAACAAACAAGCAAACGAAAACACCCTCAAAGGAAAAAAAAAAAAAAGCTAGGTGAAACAGAGGTGAAACAGCACACTCCATCTTGGTGTCATAGTACTGCATAGTACTGAGTACAAATACTCAGAATACAAAAGTGTTTATAGATCCATTATTTATTTCCTGCAGGCCCATATTATATGAACTAGAGCTTTGCATTTTGTTTTGGGATTTTTAAAAAAGAAAAGAAAGGCATTTTGTATCTGTTCTTTCATTCTCCCTTATTTTTCTTGGATTTTTTTCACCTGCATTTACAAAGCAATTAGTAAAATTTGCATTACGTATCAGAAGTACAGAAAAAGGTAAGTTAGAAAGAAACAGCAGTGATGGTTGATTGGCTGCCTGGACATTGTGTTAAAAGTTCAGCCAGGTACAAGGATAACTTGGTAATGGATATTAGCTAGGCTAAATCCCATTTTTATTATAGCCATAGTTCTTGTTCTAGACGTTGCGCTAGATGACATTTTGGTCAAGCTTTTATATATGAGCTGGGCCAGAGTGAGTTATTAAAGCTTTGAATCTTCTGCGGGTGCTGTTTAACTTAGTGTGGCTCTCAACAAAAAGAATTAAATAAAGGTATTTTTACAGTTAAGATTACAGATTAAGGGTAATACACACATGATATAGGTCAGCTGTAGTGTCATGGATATGTCCAGCAGTAAACTGAGGATAGCCCAGTTGGGTAACAGGGGTTCCATGGCCTTCCATAACATGAAAAAGGTGCACAGAAATGTTGCTGCCTTTTAAACTTTTCTACCCATAGTTATTAGATGGTATGATTACACTAAGATTTCTGAGGGCTTCTCTCGACGAGTTTTTTATGTGGTGTCATTTCCTGGGGAGGGGAGAGGTTAATTTCTTTAAGATGCTGTTGATGTTTATTCCAAATGAACTCTCTCCAGGATAATCCTTTATGAAGAAAGGTAGTTCTTATACAGAAGAAAATGTTCCTTCTTCAGTCTATCACATAGCCATAATTCACAGTCACCAGAGTGTAGTGGTGATCTACAATTCCCTTCGTCATTCATTTTTCTCAGTCTTCTGTGCTTTCATTTTGAACCATCATGTTAATATCACAGCTAGACTGGCTGAATTTACCTGTCTTTTCCTGTGCGTTGAAAATCATCAAGGCTTAATAGATTTTTTTTTTTTAATTTTTTTTTTTTTTTAAATAGAAATGGAGCCCTAAATATCCTCTATTATAATGGGTAGTTTGAAAACATAAGTATCTTTATCCAGCAGAGAACAGCACTGTGCAAATGGATGAGCCTGAGGTTGGAGGTGCAGCTGATTTAACTTGTGTGGGTGCAAGTGCTGCCTGAACATAGGTTTAAAACATTTGATACTGAATAAACCAGCAACAGGTAGGAGCAGAGCAAACAACACTAACTAAGAAATACTATGAGTGCAAGTAGGATTTATATTTAGAGCATTTTAAATTTTTTTCAAAGGAGAAAAGATCTATGGCCTTTGAGCAGTCCTTGATACCTAAGGATGCTTTCAGAAAAGTTAGCTATCTTGGTTTAACAGGTCATTCACAGGTATCTTTGTTTAATGCAGCTAGTTAATAAAACCAAACCTCAAAATGTTTACACTTGTATGCCTGTCAAATCTCCATGATTCAAGAATCTGAGCAGTACTACAAATATTTAGAGTTAGCAAAATACAATAGTCTTATTAGTTTTAAAAGGGTGGAGGTTTGGAAGAAAAAAGAATCTTGGTTCAGTATGCGTGTTTCTTATAGTTAAGACTGGAAATTCACTTTACATCTGTTATTATTCAACTGACACAGAAAACATTTCTGATGATGCATGAAAAAGTGACCATGTCCTCAAACATTCTTTAAATGTGCTCATAAAGATGCACAAAGGCTATGCAAACCTTTGTTTTGCCTTTTCAGATCTTTTCTGATTGTACACGTCTCTTTGTTGTTCTTGTTGTTGTAGTAGTAGTAGTATCCAGCCTTTCTAAAATCTATATGTCTCAACTGTATTTACATGGGAATTGGATCCCCAAAGACTTATAACCCAAAGAGCTTTTATTAAAGCTCCAAATTGCTTAGATGCTCATTCTGTCCATGATGTTGAAGTTAAGCTATTGAACCAACAAAAAATCAAACGACATATATAACTCCCACAAGACTCCTCTTAACTGCAAGAAGAGAAGCCTAAATTTTAGGATGTATCCATGTGAGAGAATCATCTTTATCTGACCTGACTTTTTTTGATTAAAGTTCACATTTTAGTATTTATGCTATAAAAAATTCTAAATTTATTATTCTCATGCACCACTCCCACTACAGCCAAAGTATTTTCGATTATCAGTGTTGTCTTCTGGAATCTGTGTCATGCTGACAGTGGAAATAGTGAATCATGTTAGTTTTATGTATGTATAATAAATACATTGTGGTAAATGGGATTCTTTAGTATCTTGTCAACAGTAATACACTTTTAATAGTGGACCAGCAGATGAAAGTGTTGCATAATGTGCCTGGTACATTATCATAATCTAGTGACCTATATAATGTTTTGGTTTGTATTTTGCTTGCTTTTGCACCCATACAGAATGGTAAGAAGTCACTTCTGTGAAGATCTACATAAAGATTCTTTTTTGAAGTGATTTTACATAGTAAATAACATTAAATTTTATTGACTTAAGTATGTTCTGTGATTCCATGTACTAAATTTGCTTTTTTGCCTATTCAAATTGTAAAAGTTGGACACCTCATTACTTCAAGAATGTACAACAAAGAGGGTCTTTACAGCTGGTTACAGTTTCTTTGTTCAAACACTTTGCAGAACCAGAATTTTATTTTAAGCTTTATTTTATTTGTGTACTTTTCTACCTTAAATGGAAAAGATACTTCTAATTTCCTGAAGTTCTATATACTGCTTCTCTTCTCTTTGTAACATACAAGGTAAGTGTCAGAGGCATTTGATAATTCCCTCCAGGATCACATCACTATCTTCTCAATGATTGCCTGTCTGGCAGCTGATGAGAGTATTTTCCTTCTGCACTTAAAGAAAAGAGTCGTATCCAAAGCCCACTCAAAGTGGTAAGAGTCTTGTAAAATACTGTGTCTTTGCATCCAAACCAAAGACACGGATTTGCCTCCCATGTTGCAACCTACCAAGGCAACCTCAGCCTTAATCCTTTGAAGCACATATGAGATAGCAAAGAGGTTTTTTATTGTTGTTGTTATTCAAGCAGGATATTTTTGAAAATAACTCTGAAATGTATTTCCCCTCCCTCTATGGGATTAATAAGGTGATTTTTACTTTTTTTTTTAATATTGTGACCATGCAGTATTATGCACAAAAGTTTTTACATCATCAAACTTCCTGACAATATTTGTACTACACTGTAATTAACATGATGAAATGTATCTATTATTGTACAGCTGTACGAATAGGATATCTATGTTTTGTTTATTGATATTTGCCAGCAGCTAATGTGGCATGTGGATTAATTAATAAAACAGTAGTACCAAAATCTTGTAAATGTCTTGAAAATCATGTATTTTGTTGTCTTTTCTTCTCAGGAACCATATCTGTGAACACATTACGTACACCATATACTGCACCAGGAGAAAGTGAAATCCTTGACCTGGATGATGACTTGTATCTTGGAGGCTTACCAGAAAATAAAGCAGGCCTTGTCTTCCCAACAGAGGTGTGGACAGCACTTCTCAATTATGGATACGTCGGCTGCATTAGAGATTTATTTATTGATGGTCAAAGCAAAGATATCCGACAGATGGCTGAAATTCAAAGTACAGCTGGAGTAAAACCCTCCTGCTCAAGAGAAACTGCGAAACCTTGCCTTAGCAACCCCTGTAAAAACAATGGTGTATGCAGGGATGGGTGGAACAGATATGTTTGTGATTGCTCTGGTACAGGGTACCTTGGCAGATCGTGCGAAAGAGGTAGGTTCTGTGAGATGACTGCATTTCTCTTTCATAAAATCCTGCACAATGATTAAAAATGGTAAAATACTCTCCTGAGGCAGAAAAAGCCTGCTTGATTTCACTTCAGTGTGAGATGGAGACCAGCTCTAAACTGAAAGAAGTAACTCTAGGGGAAAGATCTCTGGAGTTTCTAAAGGTGTATGCAGAAGTATTATCTGACTATGGCAGAGAGTCTGTACTGCTAAATATGTCCTAGAAAATGTCTCGTTTCATGTCTCATCATACATTGCTGGGTTCTGAAAAGGTTTGTGAAAGTTATTTCAAGTAGTATTGCATTATTAAATGGTCACATTCCAGTTCTAAACTGAGGTCTTGTTTTCTGCCTATTTATGTCAATACTGTTACGTAATTAAATTTACTTATGAATTCCACAGTATTGTATAAATCTATGGCCAGAACTTCAGCCATGAGTCAAAACAAAAGAATCAGTGTAGGAATCTATATTTCTTACTTAACCTTATTTTTATTTAAAAAAACCCCAAAGATCCTAGTACATAAGGAAACAGTTTCTACTTATCTTAAATCACTGGTAAGTGTAAGTCAACAGACTCCATTTATTTAATTGAAAAAGTGGATAATGGAAAGGATGACAGATGTTGATGTTAGTTTATAGGATGAAAACTCTGTAATTTATTTAAAATTATGGTAATAGAAGATTTTATTCTAAGTAGGAAAACAATAAAAAAGCTTAGTTAATATTTTAGGTGCTTATTTTTATTCTCATTGGAATAGGAAATGTTTCAGTGCCAGAACCGTGGGGTTTTTGTTTGGTTTTGTTTTTTTTTTTTTGTCTCACAATTGACACAATACAGTTTTTCTTCAGGCCTAAACCTATTGACTGGGAACATAGAATCATAGAATGTTTGGGTTGAAAGGGACCTCTAAAGGTCATCTAGTCCAACCCCCCTGCTATAACCAGGGACAATAAAAACATAAGTTCCTTACATCTAGTTTGATTCATTTTTCTAGTCAGGAAGATAAAACAAAAGTTGTATTCTGTAAAAATAAAAATGCAATGAATATTTTAAGTTGCATGTAAATAAACACATGCCTTTATGTAGAATTGATGCCATCATATTATTAATATTTGCAAGTAGATTCTTAGCTTCCTCTGAGTTTTTTTCTGGTCTTATTTTCTGAATATATATGCCTTTGGCTCATGGCCAGTTGTTCTAAGATCTCCAGATTGTTCTGTTGCTGGAGTGAAGCTGGCAGAGGGCATAACCGCACTGTCTGATGCATTACAAAAGCCTTCAGTTAAACATGTCTTGTCTACCACCCTGTGGCAAAATTCTGCTATTACATATGGCAGAAGTAAAAATAGGCTTTGTATTTTTTCAGCTTCAGAGCTAGGAAACATGTGCATTAGATACAGAAACGTGCAGATCTGCAAAGAACTTAAAAGCAGGCTTCATCACAGCGATTTCTCATAAATGTATTTGACACGTGGCAATATTGTATATAGAAAACTTTGTGTTCTTTATTTCCCATGCTTTATTTTCAACCCTGTTCCAATATGGAGTGTGATTTTCCCAGTGCATTCTCCTAGTGGGAATGGTGGTACAATGGTGGCGGTGTTGTCTTCTCCACAATGATATTTGGTACTTGTCCAACAGAAATCTATCTGACAGTTCAGACAGTGTGAGAACATTCCCTGCTCTTGGGTTTCCCTCTCCAGAGGAAACAACACTGAAAGATCTCTATCCAGTAATGTTCACATCCCAAGTGATCATGCATTAATAAGATTATAGCTTTTGGGATTCTGAAAGCAATGTGTTGGCATCCTACCCCACAAAGTTATTATAACTGGGGCCCATGTGTAGTAACTGATAAAATATGTATTTGCTGGTATAATCAATGTAATTATAATTGTTCAAACTAATTTAAATAAAATAGGAACATGTTTATTTCAAAAGCAATACAGTTTCACAAACAAAAGGAAACAGTAGAATGAAATATTGGAGATTAAACAACTGCAGTATTTAACTTAATGTTCAGTGATTTAAGGTATCTTCAGTAAACAAAAGCATGCAGCTACTTTTCAGGACTGTAATTAATTTTTCATCTTATTTCCCCTAAAATGGGAGTGATAACATCCATATGTGGATGTATCATGTACAATACACTATCTGAAATAATTTGGGTCAGTTTATTAGTGCACAAAAACCAGAACACAACACATTTATGTTTTAATTTCAGAATGCTTCAAATTAGTATTTTTTAAAATACCTATATGGTTTTTACCGTGTTGCAAGTTATTCTTGATTTTATTCTTCATTTTCAGCAAGGTTAAACATCAGTATAATCTGTAGATTGGCTTTAGTAGATTATGGAAACTCCAGCAGATGGACAGACAGATGTCACAGCAATATGATTTGGCTTCCTATCTTACTTTGATCGTGGATCAGAATATGTGACTATCTTTCAGCAAAGCCTTTTGCAGGTGTACACTTTTGACTGGATGGCTAGAAGCAATGCACAGGACTACATTCATCAAGCTCTGATAAGAAAAATTAGGCATACAAAGAAAGATTTATCAAAGTGACATTTCTAAGGAGAAAATATATTTAAATTAGATTGTGTTTGTGTAGATGTACATATCATGCATGCACACACACCTGAGTACACACATGTACATTAAAGAAATACAGAAAAAAAATTCCTTCCATTATTTCTTTATTTTTTTAATGCAGTTGGTATTATGATAGATGGTATGAAGAACTGTGTATTCAAAATAGTATAGTCATTCCTTCTCTGACTTAAATTAAGTAATTGATCTTGTGGGTTAAAGTTCTAGCACTTTTACAGTGTGGTCTGGGACCTCAGTCCTGAAATAATAGCAGTGTAGAAATTGGGAGTAACAATTGCAACTTCTGTTCACACATTACCTAGTAACTAGTTGCATATCAAGAACTGTTTCCATCAGACTGATAGAGCTGTTCCTCATGATTCAGAAGGCTGCAGCTTTGGGCCCAGATGGACTGAAGGACCTGCCATAGAAAACACACAAACGGTGCTTAGCTGAGTGTATGCCCAGGAATAGAACAAAAACTAAAAGTTCAGATTTGAATCAGCAGCCATCAATATACTTGAATACTCACACAATTTACAGGAGTAAAATTATATATAAATAAGTAAGTGTTCTCAGAGCATGATATTGTTCTATATTGGTAAATAAAACAGGACCAGAGAGCAAACCTGGATACTTGACTACTGATGATCCACATTGTTCACATACTTCCTGGCCTATATCATCTGTAACTTTCTGGGCAAAATTTCTGTGTGATTTTGGAGGCAGCAGACATGACTCTATGGGCTTCAACATAGTTTTTATGTTACTGCAGGCACTTTGAAACTGAAAAATGAGGAAAAAATTAATATTTGTGCCTTTTGGGACTTTAGAGGCATTACAAGGGGTCCAGAGGAAACAAGATCCTGGGTTCCTTATTAAAATACATGCAGGAAGCATCCATACTTACTAAGCATCATGTTGTTAAGTACAACAGAAAGTTGATTGCAAAATCTATGAGCAAGAACACTGAAATTCAAATACCTAGTCCATACTCCTTTCACTTTAATTTTAATAAGCTGTGAATTGAAGACTAGCATGTATTCAGAAAATACCCCATAAACATCCAGCTGCGCATTTGTGAGGGTAGAACCAGGAAAGTTTCTGGAAGAGTAAGTGCCTCAATCTCCTCAGCAATTTAGGTAATCCCAACCCAAGTGAAGATATGATCCTGAATCTCCTCTCATATCAGTACTAGTCTGTGTATCCTTGGTGACAGGCGCAGAGATGATTAAGGTAGTGTGTGTGTTTTTGTATATATATCGGAAGAAAGAGTATCCAGCCTTGGAGATTTTTTTCAGAAACAAACTGAAAAACAAAAAATAAGGAGGGGACTGACTTCTTCAGTAGTGCACTTCCCCTCCACCTCCCCCTTTCATTTGTGTGTTTTAGTTGATTGGTTCCTCGCACAGAAGTAACAAGGAGTTTTAATGGTCAGGTTTATAAAAATGTCAAATAAACAATGTATAAAACAGTTTTTTTTTTAATCTCTGAATTATATCTTACTTTTTATTTCTTGTTAATGGCATGTGCTTATTTGCTGCCACAAAAAAAAAAAAAAAAAAAAAAAATTGTCAGTAATGTTTTGTATGGGTTTTCTGCTATTTTTCTTTTCAATGCCATGCTTCCCACACTGAAGTGGTAGCAAAATTATTATTGCCTGCCATGGGGACTCAGATTCTTTTAATGAATAGCACATTCTGAGCTAAACTTGTGGTCTACTAACATTTAATCTAATAATTAAGAGGAAGCTGAACAAGAGAAAAAAAGACATTCTGCCAACACTTAAACAAGAACAGAACGGTTAGAAGTGTAGACCTCAAAGATGAGTATTACACCTTTGGAATTACTTGGTCTAAAGGAAAAAGAAAAGTTAGGGACAAAAATTAATACATACTTTTAGCCAAAATATTCCTCTGAGTTGGTGTAACTTATCTAAACCCCCCTGCCTCTCCTTGTTTAGCTCACCATTTTGCTGACTAGACCTTGCAAATTAACAATCCCTTCTGGACAACAGAAGTAACTTCAGGGTGGACACAATTCCATTAAACAGCTGAAACAGTCTTTAGTTCTAAGAAAGTCTAAACAAAACAAGCCTTTCTTGTTTCATCTTGAAAACTGTTTTTTTTTTCCCTATGATCTGAAAAATAAAGTGCTCTATTAATGTATGCCACCAAGCATAATGATAACTTAATAAGGCGTTGCCACAAAGAATTAAAAGAAAGACGTCAGTAAGGGAAGAGGGAACTCCTTGTTCTGTCAAAGCTCTCATACATGTACTGTTAGATGCCCTCTGTCAAGCCAAGACCAACAGAGCATGGAAATTTGAAGAGCTGAGAGCAATGCTGAATCAAATAGAAGAGATGCTGAGTTGAATATAGATGATTCACATGGCAAAATCCAGCTTGCCATCTTTAGAAAGGAACACAATATTGACAAAATATCATTCAACCTTCTTAATGGAGCAATCATTTAATGATGGTTTTAACAACAAAAGGGTTTCCCAACAACACTTGGACCACCAGGCTCATTTCAAGTGAGTAAAATGAACATAGTTGTAATTTTTATTTTAGGAATATATAATACCCCAGATCTTTAGTTATGGCTCTCAGGACAGTGCTAAGTCTTCTTTGATCAAATCATACCTGCTTCCTGCCAGTTTTGTGGGTGGTTTTGGTTTTGTGGTTTTTTTTTTTTTTTTTTTTTTTTTTTTTTTTTTTTTTTTTTTTTTTTTTTTTTTTTTTTTTTTTTTTTGTTTTGTTTTTTTTTTTTTTTGTGATACTTTTGTGTTTAGAAAGCTTGCAACTTCATACCGAAAGGAGCTAGCTGACATGAGGGGGTTTTCTCATTGCCCCAGAGCTTTTAAGTCATTTGATTTTCTGTTTAGTCTCCTTGGTCTGTTCTTGGAACATCTGTTTCCAAAATAACTGGCACAGCATGGTTTACGAGGATTGAGTATCTAATCACATTAGGTCTGTTCACCATGATGTTAAATACTTACAGGTTGCCTCTGATAAAATTAAAAGAATTCTTTCTCTTCTTTTTTCTGTAATTTTGTAAAAGACTGGATAGTTATAGGAAAGCTGGCAAACAGTGCCAGTGCTGTTTCTGACAACTTTATTTTACATTATCATAAGGTAATTTATTAGATCTTTAGTGTTGTTGAATGCTGTTCAGACTATATCATCTGATTTTGCTCAGTTTATGAAAACCCTGAATACTATTACTGTGTCTTTTTTAATAGACAGTAAAATATCTTGTATTTTTTCTTGCATTAGCATGTAACTTAAAATTTTATGCTGGACTTCTAAAATATGTTTAGCTTGACAGACCAAACAGCTGGATACAGGAATGATTTGGAAACTTATGCTCATGCCCACCTTCTCCCTGCTCTCCCAACCCCAAGACCAAACAATTGAAAAAAACAAATCACCTCCCACTGAAAACACTTTGACTTGAAATCTTTTATCAGGCTGGCGAGAGTTAAGTATTTAATCTGTGTCACAGGAAAATTTTAAGTTTAGAATATGCTGAAAACATTATCACCTGCATGGTTAGAAATCACCGAAGGTGTAAATGTATTCTTCTAACCTGTTATGCTTAATGACTTTCAAGTTGCTTTTTTCCAACATCAAACTGTTTTCTTCAAATTTGTATTGGGAAAGTCTGGAATTCTTAATGAACATACCATCTATCATTTTTGCCTGCAGTATGCTCCCTGAATTAGTGGAACACTTTGTCCTTCCATGGATGATGTAGGCTGGTGGTTTTGGAGAGCTTATCTATTTTTAACCATGTACAAGATACTCAATGGAAATGGTTTTGACAAACTGTCATAAGTAGTGATGTTTTAAAAAAAAAAAAATTCTAACAGTTTTTATTATGATACTGATTAAACATAGTATCAGTTGTATCAGTCCTTGAAAATATGATTGCATATGGGACCACAAGGTACCTTTGCTGTGCATAAATGTCTCCATTATACTACAGAAAATTAAAGCATAGTGAGTTGAGGTGCTCCCAGGATTGCATCGATTTCTAAGGATTCTCTGTTATTTAGACCTCATCTAACACTTCAACAGTTTCTAATACTAAGAGGTTTTCAGTGGGTCAAAGAATGTTGGTGACATATGGAAGAAGTTAAGAAGGTTTAGTGAATTAACAGTAGGTAAACAATCAGATGTGCATAGAACAGGGCACATTCAGATTTCTTTATATTCAGATATTTGTTCAGTATATTTTGCCATTCGGGTAGTGGCTTTAGCTATGTAGTATGATCAGATTTGTATGTGACTGGGGAGCTTACTGAAGTTCCTGGTGGTCTGCCCGCTGACTGTTGGCTTGGGGTAAAGGATGCTGCTCGTTCACTGTCCACCACAATGTGCCAGTGTCAATGAGCCTAAGAGCCATTTGCAGATGCTGTGGTGGTTAACTGGCTGCAGTGCTTGATCATACTGGGAAAAAAAGGACTTCCTAATATGTTTCAGAAACAGATTCATCCCTTTGCTTTCTAGGAACTCCTGTGCCTCCATGTGAGCAGAAATGCAGCTTTTCTGCTACCTTTCTTGTTACCAGCCTGGAGGCTGGGAAAAGAAGACTTGTGGCTGGTTGCTCTGGGGTCTAACAGACTGTGACTGCTCTGTGTCAGAGCCACTTGCCAGGAGGGTTTCCTGTAATGTCTGAAAGTGACAGTTATTTGCTTGTCTCAGGGGCTTTAAGATCTTACCCTCAATATGCCAAGTCCAGTCTCAGTTCTCTTGTTGAAGCTGTCGCAATGTTCATACGTGCATTTTTGATTCTATCAGACCACAGTCATTGTGGTCATGAAGCCGTCTATGTTCCATCCAAACCATGCTGAGGATATTTACCCTTTTCAGGCAGCTTTTGCTAACTGGATTATGATGGCAACGGTACTAGTAGCAGTTCTGACAGGTTTATACATGAAGTATCTTAAGGTGGATGAAGTATCTAGGTGGATGGTAGTAAGACATGACGTTTCAATAGGCTGTAAGGTTTTCCTGAATATCTTTTATTGGCCTTGACCTATTTTGAGTAGTGCAGTCCTAGTCTTGCAAACATTTCTTTGCGTGTGTTTTTACCTGTCTGCTTGAAAATGCATACATGAATGGTTGGTCCATTAAAAAGCAATTTAGTTTCTTTAAAAAGCACTAAAATGTGCCACTTCAAAAAAGTCAAACCAAGATGTAACCAAAAAAATAAAATAAAATTAAAAAATTAAAAAAATAAGACCACCAACACCAAAACCTTTGCTTATATTTTGCACTAATAAATGATATGTAATATGTAATATTTCTGTCATATAGAATCAATATACATTTACTGTCTTTAAGCAGTTTCAGTAAATACGATATAATTATTCAATAACATATTTTCCTCTCTGTGTTTTCAGAAGCAACAATTTTAAGCTATGATGGAAGCATGTTTATGAAAATACAGCTCCCTGTTGTGATGCATACAGAGGCTGAAGATGTTTCTTTACGGTTCAGGTCTCAGCGAGCTTATGGCATTTTAATGGCAACTACTTCTAGGGAATCTGCAGATACCCTTCGTTTAGAGTTGGATGCAGGACGAGTTAAACTAACGGTGAACCTAGGTAACAAATTCTTCCTCCAGGAAATTAAGATTTTCTTTACATTTTTCTTTTTGCTTGCAAACATGTATGAAACAGCCTGTTTTAACATTAAACGTAAATTGAAATGATATCTAGACACATGTCAATGCAACATTTGCATATGTACATACACACATAAATACATGCTCATGATTATATTTTATTTTGGTTTCTTTTGCATTTTTGTATTCTTTTGGTAGTCTTAACATGATCCATCACAATATCTTTGTACTATTGTGTATTCTAAAAAGAGAAGACTAGTTCATCAGTGGTATTTTTGGGCTACTGTATTATTCTTCACTGTGGAAGATTGGTCTCCCTCCACAAATTCTTCAAATTAACAATTCCACTGTCTAAGTGTGCGAGCAGAAACAACGTGTATGTAGGTCAGGTCAGTTTTAGCTCCACCAATTAATGTACAACATGCAAATGTGTCGTAGAATTTCTAGTTTTTACAATGAAAACGTTGCAATTAGATATTCCCACTGATGGATTTCTTAGTCTCCTTTTTTTAGGTGTCAAATCTATCTATCTCCTCTTTTTTTAAACAATTCTGTAGTGGTATTTTTGTAGTATCAAACGATAACACAACCCTTCAATGCCCAAAGACTGCGGCCCTCAGCAAACAGCCGTGTGAACAGGAGGCACAAGCCCTTTTACAGAAAAAAAAAAAAAAATAATAAAAA